CTCCAATTTTTTTTTTTTTTTTTTTTTTTTTGGAGAAAGGATCTCACTCCGTTGCCCAGGCTGGAGTGCATTGGCGCTGTCATTGCTCACTACAGCCTGGAACTCCTGGGTTCAGGGAATCCTCCCACCTCACCTTCCTAGTACTTGAGGCTATATGTGGTTGCTACCATGTCCCCAGGCTGGTCTCAAACTCCTGGCCCCAAGGGATCCTCCCTCCTCAGCCTCCCAAAATGCTGGAATGACAGGCATAAGCCACACCTTACTCAGCCCTTGGAGGAGAGGAGAGGATTTTTAAAGGGCGGATAGGGGAACACCAGGCAGAGAGGAGGGCGTGGCTGAAATGTAAGATGGTGTGTGTACAGGGTTTTGCATGCCTGATGGAAGGGCTGAGCAGGTTTTACTTGGGGAAATGGAGAGCCAAGGATAGTGTGTGAGTAGGGGAGGGGTTCAGATCTGAGTATCAGAAAATTTTTCTTCCTTTTTTCTTTTTCTTTTTTTTTTTTCGGTTCTAACAACAGAGGAAAATTCTTCTAGGGTCCGAAATGGAGGCAAGATTGTCAAAGACAAGCTTGCAATCCATGAGTTTTACAGATCGAGAAAGCCCAGAGAGGCGCAGGGACCATCCCAAGGACACCCAGCGAGCTTGAACTCAGGCCTCCTCGGCTTCCTGCCAAGAGGCGGAGACTTGGCTGCAGCCAGGACAAGCTGGCAGCCAGCTGTGTGCCATCTGCCCAGCTGGAGGTGGTAAGACCAACCAGCCGCTTCTTGCGGCTGCCACCAGCTGCGCCCAGCCACCGCGGGGCACCCTCTGCCGGTCAACAGGAGAGACAACTGCAGCACAGCTCCCAGCTGACCGCGGGAGATAATGCCTTGTGCGCATGCGCGTGCTGAAAAGGCGCCGTTCGCCGGCTACCTTTCGGTTTGTATGAAGAACCCTGCCCCGCGGACAGACTGGCGCGCCTCTGTTGCGCAGGCGCAGAACTACAACTTCAGGGTTTTCCCCAACGGCCTGTTTTTGCACGTTAGGAAAAACTACACTTCCCATAATCCTTTGTTCCAGGGTTGGGCGCTTCTGGGCTCCGGAATCGCCGGCGGCCGGGCCTGCCGGACCCACTGAGGATATGGCTCTCTTGGCTGCATCCCTGTTGGGCCCCACGAGTAGGTCGGCAGCGTTGCTGGGTGGCAGGTAAGTCCTCAAAGGGGAACCCTTCCCCAAATCTGGGAATAAGGGCGTCGGAGGCTGGCGCTACTGTTCACTGCCCGCATGACCTGCCAGTGACTTGCGCATTTATGGAGCGCATTTTGCAGCCAGGCTCTGTCCCCGGGAGCAGAGGCTTAGAGAGGTTGAGCGCCGAGGTCACCCAGCACCCCGTCTGATCTTTCTCGCCGTCCCTCTACCCACGCAGGTGGCTCCAGCCCCGGGCCTGGCTGGGGTTCCCGGACGCCTGGGGCCTCCCCACCCCACAGCAGGCCCGGGGCAAGACTCGCGGAAACGAGTATCAGCCGAGCAACATCAAACGGAAGAACAAGCACGGCTGGGTCCGGCGCCTGAGCACGCCGGCCGGCGTCCAGGTCATCCTTCGCCGAATGCTCAAGGGCCGCAAGTCGCTGAGCCATTGAGGATCGCGATGCTGTCGGCGGGACCCCCATTGAAGCATCGCCCTCACCTCGCGACCTTGCCTGGCGCTGTTTTTGCAGGGAGCTGGGGAGCAGGAACGCCTCGGACTTGAGTGCTCTCCGTATTGTGGGGTTGAAGGCTGCATGGGAGCTTGCCAAGTCCCTTTTTAGGCTTTTTAGGAAGCCTAAATTAGGAAGCATTTCGAACCTGCGCAACAGACCGAAGAACAGTACAACGAACCTCCTTGTACCCAGTACACAGCCCTGACTACCGACCACCTACAACCCGTCCCTGCCCCATCCTTGGTTCTTTTGAAGCTGATCTCAGGCATCGGATGATTTCTTCTATAAATATTTCTTGTATCTCGGAGAGAATGTATCTCTCCAAGATGAGAGCTCATTAAAATATAATTACAAAGCGTATCACATCCAAAGGAATTATCAATAATTTTGAAATA